GAATGAGTTGTTATTATAATTTGCATTTCCAGTCTTTTTGCCCATTATTATCAGTTCACAGAAATTCCTTACATCTTCTGGGTACCAATTCTTGTTGGTTAAATGTTTGCAAATATCTTCTCACAGGATGTGATTTGTCTTTTCCCATTCTCGATGGTACTTTTTGATGAATAAAAATTAACTTTAATGTGTTTACTTAATCTCTTTCCTTTATGTAGTCTACTTATTATTGATTTATGACCTTGTAATACAGAAGGATATCTTAAAGCTATTGTTCTGTATTATCTTCCGAATACCTCATACATGGCTTTGCTTTTCCCAGTTAGGTCTTTAATCTAAGTGGAAGAGGTGTTTGTGTATGATGTGTGAGGTAAGGATTTCATTTCACTTTTTTCCAGTGCTGCCTTACTGTGAAGTCCGTATTTTACCCACTGATCTGCAAAACCACTTTCATCCGTCAGATGTCAGACGTGCACAGGCCTAACGCTGGCTCTCATCTGTTCAGCACATTGGGCTTTCCATGACCGCATCATTACATCACAGTCTAAGTTACTGTAACTCTATAGAAGCTGACATTGCTGAGAGCTAGTCCATCATCTTGTTCTTAAAGATTGTCATGGCTGTTTGTAGCCTTTGCACTTTCATATAAATTTTAGAATAAGCTTAAGTTTCTTGAAAACATTTGTGAATTTGAGTAGAATCTCACTGAATCTGTAAGATCACTTTGGGCAAAGTGTATTTCTTATCATATGGAGCCTTCCAGTCCTTGAACATGGCATTTCTATTTCGGTCTTTATTGTTTTTCGATTAAATCTTATACTTTTTCACACAGTGGATTTACATGTATTATTTGTTAGTTTTTTTTAGGTAGTTTGCATTTTTGATGCCATTGTAACTTTTATTTATTTTTATTGTCTGTTTCTGCTATTTAGAAATCAAACTCATTTTTGTGTGTTAATTTTTGTATTCAGCAACCTTGCCAAACACAATTCTAATAATGTGTTTCTAGTTTCTTTTGCATTTTTTTGTTATACAATCATGTATCTATGAGTAGTAGAAGTTTTGTTTCTTTTCAAAATCTTTTTGGGGTTTTTTTTATTTTTGTTTTTGAAAATCAGATATTATTTTGTGATTTTTCTGTATTTTCAAAAATTTCCATGATGAGTTTCCATTGACTTTTGTTTTCCATTTTAGGGGGGAAATCTTGTCATTTTATAAATTGTAAAAACTGTGAAGCTTCCAATGTCACCTCATTAAATATGAGTTTTCCCTTGGTTCCTGATAGATACTCTGTATCAAGTTAAAGATTTCTTCCTTCCATTGCTTGCTGATTGCCTTTTTCAATATTTATATCTTTATTTTTCTTGTCTTACTGTGCTTGTTAGGATTTATTGTGCAATGTTGACTGAAAGTGATAATTGTGGACATCCTGCCTCTGTTTCTGATTTCAAAGGGGACACTCTCAGTGTTTCATTAGTAAGTAAGGTATTTCCTGTTGGTGTTTTTATAAATACTCTTTACTAAGTTAATAAAGTTAACCTTCTGTTACTACTTGGCAAGTTTTTATCATGCTTGAGAGCATTTAACAAATACTGTGTATGTTGAGATGATCATATATATTTTTTCCATCTTTAATATGTTAAATTGATGAATTGGGTTAATCAAATTCCTAAAGTACCGTTGCATTCCTCGGGTAAATTCCAGTTTGTCATGACGTATTACATTAGCCTTATACTTTGCTGGATTTGGTTTGCGTGCATACACAAACACATTTAATTACATGTCTGTATATATTTGTGTATGGATGTGTATATATATTTTTTCAGGCATTTTTTAATCTATGTTCATGAGTCAGATTACCTGTATCTTCTTACTAGGGGGTTCCTTCTTACTGTGTTTCTAGAAAAGTTTTATAAGACTGGAATTATTTCTTCTTGAATATTTGGCAAAACTGCCTGAAAGGCCCCTAGACCTGAACTTTTTCTATATGGGAAGATCTCTGATCACTGGTTTAATTTATTTAATGCTTGTAGAACTATTCAGATTTTCTATTCCTTCTAGAGTCGGTTTTGATTGAGTTAATTTAGGTAAGGTCCTGTTTCCTAGGAATTTATACTGATAAATTTGAAATTTTAGATGAAATGTGCAAAGTTATTTGCCATATCCTCTTGTTATCTGTGTCATATGTAAGGGTCTACAGTGATAGCCTCTCTTTCGTTCCTGATACTGTTGACTTGTGCCTTTTCTTTTTCTTTTTTCTTGAATAGCCTTACCAGATGTTGGCAGATTTGTCTCAGTCCTTTCAAATCACTGACCCCCTTCCAGCCACATGTGAGAGATACAGTTGCTTCACATCTTCCCCAACACAATGTTTTCAGTGTTTTTAATTTGGACTCTAATTTCTGTTAGGTGTGTACAGTGACTTCATTTTTGATTTTAGTTTATCATCAGGGAAATGATGTTGAGTATCTTTTTATGTGCTTATTGGCCATTTGGATATCCTGTTTGTGAAATGCCTATTCCAGGATTTTGTCCTTTTTCTTTAACTGGCTTTTTAAAAAAAATGATCTATAGGAGTTACTTCTATATTCTGTGTATGAGTCTTTTGTCAGATTTATATATTGCAGATATCTTTTCACAGGCAGAGAACTGTTCTTCATTCTCTTCATGTTATCTGTTAATAAGCAAAAGTTCTTAGTTTTAATAAAAAGTCCAGTTTATCAGTTTTCTTTTATGGCTAGTAATTTTGGTGTCTAATTTTAACCACCTTTGTCTACTCCAAAGTGAAAAAGAAATCAACTGTCGTTTTCTCTGGCTGTCTTTAAAATCTCTTCTTACCTCTGTTCTGTATCACTATGATATGTCTGAGGGCACAGATTTATTTTTTTCTGATCCTGCTTAAGAATCTTTGGGCTTTTGGGATTGTCTCTTGTCAGTTCTGAAAGCTTCTAGCTATTACATTTTCATTGTCTCTTCCTCATTCTCTCTCTCTTTCCTTCTATAACATGATAACATACGTTAAACCAGTAGTATCCTCCACATCTGTTAACCTATTTTGTGTTTTCCAGTCTTTGTCTCTCTGTGTTACACTTTGGTAATTTCTCAAGCAGGCCCTGAACTTTCTTCTCTGTCCCCCTTGTGGATTGAAAAATGGAAGCTCTGGGTTCACACTTTGATTTGGATGTTAAAATTTTGTATAAGTTTATCAGTTGATTTCAATAGGCAAGCCACTTTCTCTTCATGCTACCAGAAATGGACAAGTGCTCAACTTCTTACATTCCTGACAGTATTGTTCCCTTGACATTGTTGCTGAAGTTCCATACCTGAGAGTCCTGGATATGTTGAGATAGATTTTTGTGGGGAATTTTGGCAGCCCCTCGCCTTCCTCACAGTGTCACGACTTCTTTTTGAGAATAAAGATAGAAATTATGTTGGCATGATCTAATGTTACCAGCCTATAGATGGGTAGTCAGTTTTTCATTTAGAAAGTGGTTTTGAATCACAACTTTGTGTGAATTTTTTCTCATACATGTTTATATGTTGGTTAAACTTGACACTTGAGTGTTTTTTGGTAGTGTTAGAATACATTTGTAATGACCAGGACTTCAGTTATACCTTAGAAGGGCACTTACAATCCTTTGTTTCACTTTTCCCAGATTCCTCTCTCTGTGGGCAAAGTGGCATTTAGTTTCATTAGGGCACCACTGCTGGTACACAGCTAACACTGACTGCTTCTAAACAACGAGGCGTTGCACTTCCTGCCATATAACATTACAACCACCCCATGAGATAGAGAGTAGTGTAATTCCATTTTAATCATGGGAAAATGGAGGCTTAACAAGGTAGACAGTAGTCCCAGCGTACCCAGCTGGGAACTGAAGACTAGGACTCAAATCCACAGTGTAACTCTTGATTCCTTGCTCTTACACTGATCCTATCTTGCCTGCCTGAGGGACATGTCACACATTTTACAAACGTATAGGTGTGGTAGGTGTATATTTCACAAAAATTCTTAGTATGTCACAGAAGTCTCTGAGCCTTAGTAGAGATCCCTAGCTTATCTTCATGTCACATCTGACGCTGTAACATAGATTTGTTCCTGAAATGTGGGGAAAAGCTAGCACTCAGTCATCCATGGTGTTGTTAAGAACCACACACCGTGCTGGTCACTGGCCACACGGATACTTGACAAGAGGCTCCTACACAGACTGAGACTCCAGTGCATGAGACGGATGCCAACAGTGTGATGTGGCAGGTGGGGCAGGGCCCGGAGGAGCACAAGCGCCACCCACCAAGAGGATGGAAGGAGACTCAGAGAATGTGTGAGAAAGGACGGCGAGTGCATGGAGGAGGTGCGGGCAGGACGGTGAGGCTAGTGGCGGGGCAGCAGAGTGCCCTGCCGACTCCTGCAGAAACTTAACCTGCTGGGAGAGCATCTCAGACTCGCCCGGGCCCCCCAGCTCCCATGTTTCCCATTCAGCAGGTCTGCAGTGGGGCCCTGAGAACATTGTGAACCAAGTGTCTGGTGTTGCTAATGCTGCTGCTGGTCTGGGACCCACACCTGGAGAGGCACTGCCTGGAGGGACCACTCCGCCGGTGAAGGACAGTGCTGTGGCTAGCCAAGCCAGCTCGCCTCCCGCTCCCAGCTCAAGCTCTGAGTCAGACCCAGACTAAATGACGTGCCCCTTCTTCAGTTGAGGTAGTTAGAAACTTCCGGAAATAGCCTTACCAAGAAATTAAAGATACCATCGAACGGAAGGACCTAAAAAGTGGTGTCACTTACCCAAAACTCACTCATGCATCCTCATAGGGGTCCTCATTTGCTCCACCTGAGCACCTACTGTGTGCAGTCCACTGCACGAGGCACTTGGAGGGGTAGCAGGTGACAAGGCCCCACAAGCTGAGCCTCCTGCCAGTAGCCACTAGCTATGTAAACATAAGTAAGATTAGAAATTCTGTTCCTCAGTCGCGCTGACCACATTTCCGTGGTCAGTACCTCTGTAGCTACCAGACTGGATGATGCAGCTATGGAGTACCCCATCACCCCAGAAAGTTCTCCGGTGGGCAGCGCTGCTCTGGTGGGCTGAGTCAGCTCTGAGCTGTAACGAGCAGACAGCATCCAGCCTGGCCTGTGTGACAGGCCAGAGAGAAACACGCAGGAGTTCAGCTTCCATCCTAGTGTTCCCTTCAACTCCACAAGCTCTCGCGTGCCCCTCAACAAATCCCTTCTCTCTAGAGCCCCTGAGTGTGACTCACTGAAACAGAACTGCACTCTGCAGGCTGCTCTGCAGAAAGATGCCAGTGGGTACTCCCCAGCTGACACACAGCGCCCGTGGACACCAAAGGTTCTGATTAGTCCTGCAGTAAAGGACCCTTTACAGCCAACTCAGGTAGGTTTCCTGAACTGACATGACTATGTAATTCAATAGCTTTCTGGATCTTTCTTTGAGGAAAGCAGGACCAGAACATGCCTCTTGTACAACTTTGTCTTGTTTTGCCTTGTTTATTTGAAAAGCCCTTTGTCAGAACGTGGAGGTGAGGGTTCTTTGTTCCATCTTTGGAAGGCGGTGGTGGGCCCGGGCAGCCTCATCCTCCTCCCCAGCTGGGCATCCCCGTGCCTCCTGCCAGCATCAGAGCCACCCACCCTCAGCAGCCACGCACAGAGGACAGGCACACGAGGGGAGCAACATGTTCTTTTATTGATGCAAGTATGTCCAGTCACACCAACAACTGCCACCCTGCATTATGTATGGTACAGCTTTATACTCAGAGTTCACCTCGAAATACCAAAACATCATAGTTAGGGTCTGTATCAAATTGGGAAAATAAAGTAGCAAATGTAGACACTGTCAGATAGGTACTGGAACTGACAAGCCAGGGACGCGCACATTGATGTAAAAGCTCCTTGACACGTGTACAGAAAATGTTCTCACATTGTATTCCAAATATATATTCTCAAGTTTTAAACCTTTCTTTATCTCAAATACATAAACAAAGCAATATGTACTATCTAGAACATCTGAAAAGTGCAAAAACACTGTGACAATACAGTGTAAACATCCTTGCTCCACCCAGGGCTGAGGGTGATGTCACCAGCGGATCATGGAGCCACCTCCCTCCTGAAGCTTCGCCTTCGCATCTCCAGGCTCTCCTAGGAGTTTTGGGAATTAGCAACTAGCTGACCCGTCCTCACCCAGGCCTCCCAGCTGGAGGCTCCGGTGGAAGCCAGGCGTGCGGAGAGAAACGAGGGTGAGTGGTTCCCAGTCTGCTTGTACAGAATGAAAGCCACGCTGTGAGGGAGATGGAGTCAGCGTGGATTGCCCACTTCTGGCCTTCGAGGGAGCAGGGCCATCACTGTCCCATGGCCAGGACATCAGACAGAAAACGGAGTGTACTCCTCAAGTTTGGGTGTAGAAAATACCTCTACGTGTTGGGCAGTTTCATGAGAGTGGGCTCCAGCATTACTGGCCTGGCTAACTTTCTGTGTTTCAGATTCTATTAGGGGAGGCCCCCACCCAGAGGGAGGGAGGATACTGACTTGTGAGTTGCTTCTTTTCACTCTGTTCTTGGGCTTCAAGACAGCTTTGAATGTCCCCATCCTTAACTGTATTTTGTGTTCGCTTTATTGCACCTAAGTGTGTCTTTCAGTTATAGCCTGGAAAACTGACAATTCCACGACTCTCCCCCTTAGGTTATTTCAGATCTCTTTTCCTAAAATGTAGCTGAAGAACAATTTGCCAGACATATCCCGACAGAAAATATGCTGCCAGGTGTCCCCCTGCCCTCCCCCCCAGACCCCCGTAAATCCCTGATAAAGGAAAATGAAAATGTAAACTTCGGAAAGCCCGTATTCAAGGTTCACTTCCAGAACTATGCAAACGAGACCTCCCGGCCGCCCAAGCCCCTCCTGCCGGAACCTCGCTGGCCCAGGCTTTGAGGGCAGGCGCCCTTGTGGTCCAGGGCAAAGCTTTCCCTGCGCCTCCCAGCGGCACTGGCTGTGGGCTAGAGAACGGAGCGGGAGACCGGCCCTCCAGTACCCTCTAAGGCACTAACCCCGACTTCAGAGACACTGGCTGGAAAGTAGGCAGGGCTCACGTTGGTTTTGGTTGGGTTTTTTAAAATATTTTTTTGTAAGATGTTAATAATCAAAAGTAGAAAATAAAAATCTACATTTCATTAGAATAAGATGTTATCATGGATGCCATCTCCCATGATACACTTTCCCCACCCCTCCCCAAAGCAGGGCCCTGCCCTGTTATTGAAAATAAACAAAAAAACTTTGTTAAGTGCCAAAGGTTGATGCATGAAATACTTTTTCTTTTTCTTTTCATAAAAGTTATATACAAAATGGACCCCAACCAGTGAGGCCTCCTCATCTCAACCCATATCAATCAAGATTAAAACTTGGTACACATGTGTGCTTCGTCCAGGTCTGCAGGCTGCATCCGTGCCTTCAGGCTCTGTTAAGCAGAGTGGTCCTAAAGGTGGGCAAGGCACAAGGAAATGGTCAGGTGGCTGGCCGGCCCCTCCCCTGAGCAAGCAGCAGGCCGGCCCATGCTATTAGAGGAGGGCCCGGCTTCCAAGAACTGGTCTTTGAGGGGAGGAGTCAGGGCCGTTCAAACCCCAGGTCCTCAACTGGGGATGCCTTCCTCTGCCTGGTCCATGGAGAGGTGCGCAGCTCCATCAGGTTGCCCCCCACCCTGTCCTTTCCCTTCCTTGTAGACTTGGCCATGGGGCTGGTCTTAGGGGCTCACCGGGCTGTTTCTGAGTTCTCCTACCTGAGGGTCTTCCAGCTGTCTTTTTCCATGTGGTTCTCAGGACCTTCACTTTCAAAGGAGGCGATGAAGAGAGCTGAGAGACAAGAAGCACCTCAGAACCCATGTCCACACGTGGTCAGTCCACCCCCTGTACCAGTTAGCCCTTCTCAAACTCCCGTCCAGGGCTGGAGCTAGGCCCAGGACCAGGCGGGTAAGGACTTACGACCTGGGCGCATCCACAGGTCTCCACCGCGTGGGGTTCCAGGCCCCATGGGGCCTAGAACTCCTGGATACCTGCCTGGGAACTCTGAGAAGTTTTCTGGTTCTGCAGCGCTGGCCCAACCCTGCCCTGGCTCTCAAATGGCCTCGGGAGCCTGACCTCTTCTTGCCTTTATTCTTAATCTGTCATCTGTCACGACCCAGCCTCATGCACTCACCTCTGCGAGCCGAGCTTCCCCAGTATAGCGCGGGACTAACAACCAGGCCTGCCTCCCAGGGCAACCCCAAGATGGCACCATGGTCGGGGGAAGGAGTCAGGGTGACCTGCACAGTGTGGGGAGGTGGCCCTCACCTTCCTCGCTGTAGATGGGAGCTGTCAGCAGGTAACTCTGAATCTTCTTGTCCTTCTCGAAGGGACACTCTACCTGTGTCCATGTCATGAACTCATGGATCTGTCTGGAGATCTCCCAAAATTTCTGAAGGGGCGGAAGACCAACTGGATGTTCATTTGTCACCATAAGCTTGAAAATCTTGGTTAGGGCAGGGGATACAGGCTCCGATTTCAGTCTGCTGCTTACTTCCCTGGTCCCAGCGAGATGGGACAGTGGCCCTACAGAGCTGACTTTGTGGCCACGGAAGCACTCTGTGCAACATCAGAGCCAGCACGTGTCCTCAGGGCAGCTCTGTCCCTGCCCTCTACCTAAGCCATCAGGCTGCTGCAGCGTCTGTGCTTCCCCAGCGCAGGGGCCCCAAAAGGGTCTGCAATTGTGACTCCAGGTTGAGGCAGGCATCTCAGCCACACCCAGCGTGGTACCACCAACCAGAACACGCCTGATCTCACTCTTTGGGGCCCAGGTAAGAATCCAGGACTCCCTCCCCTTCCCTGTGTGAGGTGAACACAGGACAGCCCAGCTCCCCCTGCACTCCCCAGTCACCTTTGTCCTACCCTCCTGCCTTTGGCCAGGTACCTGTAAGCATTCATCTGGAATTCTGCTGCCTTCTCCCTGCCCAAGTCCCTTCTTGCCAAAAGCCTTCCTGACCCACAAACCCCCAGGAGTGGCCCCTTCTCTGTCTCCCTGGTGGGGTCAGTGCTGGGACCAAGATACAGGTTCCCTGTGGCTCCTAGCCCTGTAAATAGCCCTGTAATCATCCACCCAGAAGAGCTGGGGCCATCCTCACACCTTGAGGTCAAATGGCACCCACGACCATACTAGAGCTGTCAGTCCTTAACGGCCCTTCTGCCACAGGGCCACTGCCTTACAGCTCTCATGGCAAAGATGGATTCTGCTTCTCCTGGAGCAAGGCCAGGAGGTCTGCCCTACCCTGTGCTGGGAGAGCCGGCCCCCTCCCCTTAGACCATGAAGGCGCTGAGCTGACCTTGAAGTTAATGTGCCCATTGGGCAGGTGGTTGGTGTGGATTTTGTGCAGGAAGTAGATGTCCTTAACGAAAAGGTTGAACACGGGGATGACGATCTTCTCCCGGCTGCTGTTGGCCATCTGGGACCTCTGTGTGGCCCCCTGCAGGGCTGTACGGTAATTGCAGAAGTTGCTGGATGGGTCCATGTGGTGCTGCGGGAAGACGGGAGGATGTGGTGGGCAGTGCTTCCCTGCGCCCCTCAGACCTGCTCAGGACACTCTGCAAGAAACAGCTCCAGGTAGCCCCGGACTGTCCCCAGAAGAAGCCTCCTTTCCAGGAGTGAGCATCGAGGAGGGAAGCCCAGAAGCACCTGGCTGAGGGCTGAGCACTGGGCCAGGGCCTTCTGGGTTTGGGTGCAAGCATCATCGAGAACGCTGTAGAGAAATCTCACAGTTCACACACACCTCATCCCTGTCCTGCTGAGTCTGGGTCTCACCTCCTTCCTTTCAAAACCCTCATTTGCCCTTCTGCTTAGGCTGATACCTCCCAAACCTGACCAGATCCTCAAGACACACATTTGCCAAAAACCAGATTCTGTGATCAAATACATCTGGGCAAGGCTGTAAGTGGGCTCTCCTGTCAGCCCCTGGGCCACCCAGAGGATCCCGGACCATGAGACGCTGAGCCAGGAAAGGGCGGTCGCCGCTTAGTTGGCATTGTCCAGCCTGGAGTTGTGGGCCTGCTTTTGTCAAACTCTTTACTAACCACTCCCCAGAACTTGCTTTAGGCGATGCCAGTTCTGATTGAAGTTCCCAAGGGCCAAGGAGAGCACAGGCTGCCTGCCTCCTCGTGGTGGCGCAGCCAGGCTGGCTGACACGACGGCAGGACAAGCTAGGCCACCTACCTCTAAGACGTCGAACTTGGCCGTCTTGACTTTGGACCACGTCTTCTTCAGCCTCGCCACGGGACTGAGGTTCATGCCAGCTGCAGGGGACGACAGGTGGGGTGAGGGCGGGCCAGACAGAGCTGGGTGGGGACCCCCTGGGCCCGCACACTCACAGATGATGGCCATCATGGAGTTGAAGTTCCCGATGTTGAAGCACTCTCGGGCCACATCGATGAAGAACTCTAGCATGCGGGTCCGGTGCTTCTTCTTCACCACCTGGAAGGCGGCCAGGCTGCTCAGCGTGGGCCTGACTGGGGGTTGTCCCCTCTGGCACCAGCGCCTGAAAGGTGGCCCAGATGGGAGCCGCCCTGGGCCCACAGAGCTGTCAGATCTGGGGTGAGGGGATGCTCGCAGGCTGCAGAGGCAGGAAATGCAGCTGGGGCATTTTTGATGCCAGGCAGAGGGGCAGGAGGGCAGAGGACCAAGGGAGCCCCAAATTGACTTGCAGACTATGCCTGGCACAGGGTGCACTCCGTGGGTAGGCCTCTGTTGCAATTTAAGGCATCGCTGTTGGAAGTGGGGGTGGTGGGAGTCGGGGCAACCCTGGCAATAAAAGCTTCCTGTCTCCACTTTCAAAGTTCCATCATCAGAGGGTACAGGAGATGGCGCTCCCCCGTGTCCACCACACGGCACTTACCCGGCACACCTCGGTGGCCACAAGCATGCTGAGGCAATTGAACCAGTTGTCGTAGGCCTCTAGGCTGTAGGTCTTGGTCAGGTCCCCTCGGCACTGGGGGGACACGGCAAGTCACAGGGAGCCAGAGGACCCTGCCAGTGGGTGCTGCCGCAGCCCCATCCCCACACCAAGGAGCAGGAGTCATGGCCAGAAGGGGAGACTGTAAAGCCGAGGGCAGAGGGGGGTTGCCACTGGCCAGGCAGGATCTCCCAGGATGCCCCAGGGCTAGGCTTGGAGGCCAGGCTGGCTCCCTAGGCCTCTGGGAATGCTGGGCTCCCTCCCAGCACGCATCACCCTGCATGGCCACCCACCCACCCCCTGGAGCAGGCGCTAGGAGGCAGGACCCATGCCCGTCAGGCTGTGAGGCCCATCACTGTGGAGGTGCTCAGACGTGCTCGGGGAGTCCCCCACCCACCCAGGCGTAGGTGTCAGGCCTACCCTCAGGCCACCCCAGAGCACACTGCGGCCCCTCACCCTGTGCTTGTCCCGAGAGTCCATGTGGCTGACGATCTGCATCAGGTCCTCGGGGTGAATGCTGCTGACCCTCTCCTAGGGTGGAGTGAGGAGACAGTACAGGAAGGGTGACATGCCTGCCGTCCTCAGGCAGGCCCACCCTCGGGGTGTAAGGAACGTTCAGAGCAGCAGTCAAGACGTTCCTGCAGGCGTGCACCACAGCCACAGCCCCTCCTTGATCAGAACATCCAGCCCATGGGCAAGCCCCCGCCACAAGATGTACCCCAGGAGTTTAGAAGGCCCGCCCCTGGGAGGGCCCAAGGCACAGGCAGGATGAGGTGACTGGGGCGGGGGAAGCGGTGGGAAGAGGCTGCCTTTCCCTTTGAAACCCTTCATCTCTTCCCAGGTCAGTCCTCCATCCTGCGGCCACTGCAGTCCCCATGTCCTCAGCCCCTCCCATTAATACGGGGCTGCTGTGATCCTGGGGATGGGTGGTGCGCAGGTGGACACACACACACACCAGAGGCAGTGGTCAGAACTGGCAGGCAGGCTTCACCTGACACCCCAGTCTGACTGGTGGGGGAGGCCCTGCACACCATGGTGTGATGGTGCCGGGGGCCAGTGGCCTTGGGTAAGTGCCAATGAATATGCCCCAAACCCGTCCTGGGAAGGGCACACTGCATCACTGACCAGCTCGATGTGAGTCAGCTGTTGGGCCAGCACCAGGGGGTCACAGCACACGCCCAGGATGTCCTTCTGAGCAGCTGGCGGCTTGGCCTTGAGGACGGGCCCTTTGTCCACGGCCGGTGAGCGGAGCTTCTCACGCAGCTCCTGAAGCTGGCTCCGGGCAGCCAGGGACAGCAGCAGGCTCTGCGTCATTTGGGTGATGGCCTTCTTCACCGTGCCATTCTCCTGAGAGGGGCAGGGGTGAAGAAGATGCTGGCGTGGGCTGGTGGCAAGACCAGCGCCGCCCTGGAGGGGCCCATCTCATCTCCAGGGACTTGCCTACCATCGAGCCCACATCACCCACCCAGACCTGCCATGAAGACTTGGGCTGCTGATGCCAGAGCGGGGTACAGTGTGGGCTCCTTCGAGGACTGCTGGGGAGGGTGGCTCAGCTGACTGTCCTGTGGGGAAGGGAGCTGAAGGCCAGGGCTAGGCTTCCGGGTCTGAGGAGCATGGCTTTCCTGGTGGTGGCAGCTGAGCTACTTCTTGTGACCTCCTCCCAGCAGGAGGGGCCCACAGTAGGGATGAGGGAATCTAGAAGGGCTTCCTCCAGGACCAGGCCTTCCTTCCCTGGGTGAGGGGAGCCCTGGCCCCTCCCCAAACTCTCCCTGGACTTTGAGCCCTCCAGGCAGGTAGAGGCTGCTGAGCACAGGAGCACTTCCATCATGGAGGCCCCGGCTCCCGCTCAGTGTGGGCTGGAGGCGAGCCCACCACCTCCCTGGAGGGGCCCTTCTCAACACTGAAGACCAGGAGTGAGCTGGGAGCCAGCAGAGGTGGGCAGGCTCTTACAGCCTCTCACCAGGCCCCCACTCCACCCCCCTCCCCGGGGCAGCAGAAGGTGGGGCCCAGGATCATCCCGCTCAGGCCACAAGCTGAGGACGCTGAGGGTGAGTCCGGCCTGCTGCCGGCCAGCAGAGCTGTCGTCATGGGGCTGGGGGCAAACGGAGCCACCTGCGGTCCTCTTGGGAGAGTACAGCAAAGGGGGCCACACACAGAGCTGCCCCGAAGACCCACCCTCCCCCAGACAAGGAACTCTGCCCGGGTCCTCACCTCGTCACACTGAGCGACCCGGTGAGTGATGGTCTTCAGTTCCGCCATGGCTTTCTCATCCTGGAAGTCATAGGGGAAGGCCTCCGTCCACTCCTTCAGCAGCTGCACGATCTTAGCTGAGAAGGACTTCAGCTTGACCTGGGATGGCAGGGCACAGAGTGAGGGCTAACCCTCTAGAGTGGGTGAGAGATGACAAGTGGGAACGTGCCCCTCACCCCCCCAGTTCTGCGACACCCTCCCACCCATCCCCCACAGGACCTGTCCTCCATCCCGACGTTGGGGTCAGAGCTGCAGGTAGGGCGTCCCCGGCCCTGCATACCTGCGGCTTTGTTACACCTGCTTTGCTCCATTTTCCCCTTAAGCTGGCTCTTTTTCACTTAAATTCATATTCAAAAACTGTCCTAACGCTACCATGACATAAAAAAAGAGTTTTACTTGTTGTAATTAGAAGTTATGCATAAAAAAGAACTCACTGAGAACCAAGCAAAATCACTAATGTTAAGCAAGAGACTCTAGCCTGCCTCTTCGCAGTTAAAAGCAGGTTGGCAAGGGCTGGGAAGAGGCACAGACATGCCAGGCACCCTCTTCCTGACTTCTGCTGGCCCAGGTCCACACGCACATACAGCCCAAGGCGGGGGTGTCGGATGCTCGGCTGCAGTCTCCTGGCCAGTCCTCCGTGCCCAGCCCAGCACTGGTTCACACATGCCAAACCCCTCCTGTGCCCGCCTTGGCTCCTCCCTGGCCCTGACCAGCTCCCTGTGCCCGCCTACCCAACCTGGACCCTTCCGACCTTGACAGCCCACAGGGCCCGGCTCCCACATGACCCAACTCTCCATCCCTATATCTACCTGCCCCTCCCACATCCATGCCCCCTGGCACTGCCTCAGCCGACCCGATTCCACCCACACCCCCAGCCAGTCCCCTAGTGATGGCTTCCCATGCCTTGTGGAGGCTCTCCCAGCTGGCCCCTGCAGCCACTCCTGATCACAGTCCAGTGCTTGCGGACACTCCCCTAAGATGCCCCGAGGACCCCACACTTAGCAGGAACCTGATCCCTGCATTCCCTCCCCAGAGGCCCCGCCCTTCATGTCACCACGCACAAAGGCCTGCAGGCTCACCCCAGGCTCCTCTCAGGCTTCTACTGTCCCCACACTGACCCTCAGCCTAGAATTTCATCCCCCACTCACCCTGATCTGGCTTCTTTCCACCCATGCCTTCAGGAACCTCTCCTGAACCCCAGGCTGCAGTTGATGCCTGTCTCCATCCCTGCCCAGCACATTCTGGGACAGGAGCCCCTCTGGAGAGGAGACTCTAAAGAGGGTATGGACGTTCAAGGCCTTTGCTGCAAAATTCCAGGGGCAAGAGGCCCGGCCTCAGGGAGGAACAGGTCACCAGTGAGCCAGAACAGGCCACGCTCTGCCAAAACCCAGAATAGGCCCTGCCAGCCCTTTGACAGTACGTCCACCACCTCTCCTTCTGCACCAGACCCTGGGCTTCTAAAAGCCTCACCCCTGGTCCCTGGCCCCTGGCCCCTACCCCCAGGCCCTCAGAGATGAGCCATGGTTTCTTGACCATCCTGACTGCCCAAAGCCTGACTCAACCAGAAGAAACGACAGTGGCAAACAGCCCTATTTGAGTCACTGGAAACTCCAGCCCCACTGGCTTCTTCTCCACCAGCTGTAGTGGGCCCTCCCTTTTGGGGGTCCTGGCACTGACCAGGAGAGCTGGCAGAGCTGTCTGCTGTGGCCCTTTCCAGGGAAGGGGTGCGCACCCGCCAACAGCAGTTACACCCAGCACCCTGGGAGGTGTGCTCAGCTCTGTGTGGGCCCCTGCAGACCCTGGGGAGCCCGGCCCCACATATGTCAGGAGGCCTGCAGAGACCAGCACACCTGCCCCCATCAGGGAGGGCCCCAAGGCCGGGCTCAGCCAGCCCCTATCCTGCCAGCTTCCTCTGAGCAGGCTTCTCTCCAGAGAGTGAGCGAGAGGGGAAGCCAGGGCCACAGAAACAGACAGCACGCCTTTACCTTCTCAGACCCAGCCTGCAGCTGCTGCCTCTGCTCCAGGCAGATCTGCCCCACACGGGCCAGCAGGTCATGAGGGGGGATGAAGACCCGGGAGCTCAAGAGAAACGTGAAGATGTACGTCCTCTGAAGAAAAGAGACAGAGAGAGGGCAAAGAGCAGGTCAGGCCTGGCACAGCCCCCTGGTATGGTCACGGCCTGCTCCCCCACCTGGTCCAGCTGCCTCCCAGGCCCAACATCACCTTCTGCGTGGTTCACCTCACCTCCAATGCCCTTCCTCCTCTCTCTCTGCTACCCAAATCCTGCCCGCCCGCCGTGCAAGGCACAGATCAAACCTTTTCACAGTCGCTGGCAGAAGCCTCCCCTGATAAGCTCGACCCCTGGCAGACTTCCTCTGCTGGGGTTCTCCCCTACCCGCCCCACCCCACACGGGGGTAAACCCGGCCTTGGGTGTCTGTGGGACTCTGTGGGCCTGAGTGGGTCGGCTGCCCAGCCCACGGTGCTCCCTGGGCCAGGCACCAAGCTTGCTCTGTTCCAGATCCTCACTGGCCAGGGAGGCAGGGCTTGGTTGATGGTGGTGGGGTGGGGGTCTTGTCTGTGGGGTGCGGGTCTTGTCTTAGCCCCAGGATCCTGCATCAGAAACTGCTGCAAGCCCCTGTGCCTTCACTAACCAGCTGTGGGCCTCGTCACTGCCTGCCACACCAGGGCCCCCCAGTCCCACTTCCTCTTGCCCCCGCCACCTGGCTGTGTGGTGCAGCCTCTAAGGGGTGTCACGATGTGGACTGAAAGAGAGCAGGGAGCAGAGCCCAGGGCCAAGGGTTCTCAGAAGTGTTTGGTCTGACATGGATCAATGCCCTCTGGATCTGCACCCTGGCCCTGCCTGCAGACAGGGAGGCCTTAGGGATGGGGTGGCTGTCTGGGGCTCTCCTGGGAACTCTACTCAGACAGGCCTCTACCCACACTTGGCTGCTGTAGGCTGAGGGCCCAGGACCCTCCGCCCCCCACTCCAGGCCCAGAGGAGCAGGGCTTCCTTGCTACAATCTGAAGAAAGCCAGACCGTGTTTGCTGGGAGCGCAGCTTCCTGGAACAGAACTGGGGCCCTCAGTTCTGGGCTCCCCCGCCCCCCTCACTGCCCCTACGCAGCCCTGTGGCCACTAGGGGAGGCTTTCCCTGGAGCAGCAGGGAAATCCTCTAAGCACCCCGAAACTTCCCACATCCTGTCCCCAGGCTGTGCAGTGGTGCTCACAGGTCCCAGCTGGTCAGCAGTGTGACCCTCAGGGTCCCCCTTCTAAGCAGATGGCCCAGAGTGTGAAGAAAGGCACCCAGGTGTCACACCTCGGAGCTCTCAGGCGAGGGTAAGAGGAGCGCTCAAGGCAGCAGCCCTGTGTCTCCGAAGGGAGCACCGGCCGTACTGGAGAGGCGTGTCCCCAGCTGCCCGGCGTGCGGGGTGGGGGAGCACGGGCACTCAGCAGAGGAGCCGGTGCCAGCTGGACCCCCGTTCCGCCCCCACCACCCCTTTGCCCTCTGCTGGGGAGCAGGGTGGGATCCTAGGCACAGAGTTCTGGGGACAGGAGGCTCCTCTGGGACAAGCCCAGGAGAGGGGTGGGTCCTGCCCCTGCCACGCAGGCAGCTGCCCCTCAGATCAGCACTGGGGTTGGGGGTTCCAGACCCTGGGGGCTTCTTCAGGGCCTAGAGCCCCCTCTTTCCAGCTCAGCCACCTGGGCCCTCAGCTTTCATGTCTGCACCACCAACACCAGCCCCAGCCAGGCCCTGAGAGGATTTATGGGGTAGGTGGAAAGACAGAGGAGTGGACAGAGCCCCAGGAGGGAAGGAGGCGGCCTGACGTGTCAAGGTGGGCCAGGAACCCCCAGAAAGAAGCCTGGCTGACTCCAGTGCCATCAGATGGAAGCTTGAGGGCGGAGGGGGCAATTCCTCCCCGCCCTCCCTTGCAGCCCTGTCTGTCAGGAGCTGGGCTCTGCCCTCAGGGGGAGGGGGCCCCCCAAGGGGCAACTTAGCTCTCAAAAGGGAGCAGGCATCAACCCCACGGCTAAGAGATGCCATCTACTGGACATAGAAGGGAAGCCTCACGTGACAAGGGAACTGTCTCTCACTGTTCCAAGAATGTGCCAGAGTCATCTTGAGGTGAAGAGAGGATCTGGGTTGTTGGTGAAGGCCAGTCCTGCCCTCACAGGCACGTGCCCTGGGGTCTGCATGCCGGTGGGTGAGGGGCTGGGCCCCCTTCATTCAGAACTATGGCGGTTCACGCACAGACTTCCCAGCTCAGAGGTGGACATGTGGCTGCGTAGACGCTCACCAGGACCTGGAGGCACTGGCCTCGCCCGTTAGACTCCTCTTCCTCCCCCAGGACCATCTCCCACCCGCCTGGGACAGCAGCGAAGTCACTGCAGGTTCCCCCCCTCCACCCCGCCTAGGCTGGGGGTCGGGGAGGGAGCAGGAGGCGAGGGAAGCACAGGAGGTGAGGCTGGGGGTCCCTGCTGCCCTGCCCCTCCCTGCTGCTCCATCCAGCTCTGGCCAGGCCTCCCTCCCCATCCCAGAAGCAGCCTCCCCTGGAGCCGAGGTCATCCCCACCAGTCACCAGGTACTCACATCAGGGTAATAGTCCACTGTGGGGACCAGGTGCTCCATCAAGGCCTCCAGGGACCCGGAGATGAGGCGCCCGTCTTGGAAGATGAGGTCCCCGGAGCCGCCGGCCCCAGCACCTCGCTCCCCCATGCCGGGCTGCACCTGTCCACTACAGCTGGGCCCGAGTATGCTGGAGAAGACCACGGATGTCTGGGGCATAGTTTCCTGGGAGGAAAGAATGAGGCTGTGAGGCATCAAAGGCACTTCTGCCAGGCCCTCCTCCCAGGCCGCCTGCAGCCTGCATGCGGGTGCATAGTGGGAGCCCAGCAGGGCCGGGAGCGGGGTCACCAGACGTCAGCTCAGGTTAGCAGCCAGGCTCCTTGGTGGCCCTGAAGCTGCTGATAAGTATGTCTGATAAATGTTTCTTCAGCACCTGCTCTGTGCATACCAGCCTCACTCCAGGGACCTGGACACAGAAAGCCCTGCCTCCTGGGGTTCCATCCCAGTGGAACTATGGAGTAAAACCACTACCAGGAGAACGCCTGGGGGGTGGGGCGGGGGGTCAAGGCAGCCTCGGGGAGGCTGCACTGAGGCAGACTGATGGTATCAGCTGTGCAGCTTCCTGGGATAAAAGAGGGATGCTCTAGGCATAAGGGACAGCAGGTACCAAGGTCCTGAGGCCAGTGTACGGGAAGAGGGCAGCAAGAGAGTGGTCTGAGGAGTGACAGGCCAGATGGTGCACATCTAGGGGCCCCAGGTGCAGCACATGAGACGAGGCGTGGGGGCCCTGAGCCCAGGAGTGACCTGACTCAGGGTGAAGGTCTCTCTGGCCACCGTGTGCAGACTCTGAAAGGGAGAAGCCTGAAAACCAATTGGTGGGTTCTGCCATAGCAGCATCCTGCGAGAGACTGCTTGGGTCAGGTGACAGCAGAGTAGGAGGGAAGCAGGGTCAACTCTGGACGCTGTGAGGAAGGGTTTTCAGTCTGAGCAATTGACCAGCATGGGGAAGGGCTTTGGGGCTGGGGTTTGGGGAAAGACCTGGAACTTGCTTTGGATGCACGGGATTTGAAGTGCCTGTTACATGCAGACGCTGGGCAGCAGCCTGAGGCCTTACTGTGATGGGGCTGAGGGCTCGGCTGGAAGCTCTCATAAGGCCTGAGCCTCAGTTTCCTCACCGCCCAAGGCAGCTAGTTGTGTCTAGAGGGGCTCTGTAGGGTCAGGGTGATGCACACTTGCCAGCTGGGGCCTCCCACAAGAGCGCCCATGGGTGCACTCTCCCTCTTGCTGGCCAGGGTGGCCTGGTCCGCTCACTTGGCTAGTCCCACCTTGGAGGGCAGGCAGGCTGAAGTCAGAGTGGAGGAGCTGGCCCTTCCTGCCTGGGCAGGGCCCCTGGCCAGGTTCACGCTCTCTGGTCACTGGCAAGCAGGTGCCACCACCCCACAGCTACCTCTCCGCTGCAGCCACGCCGCCTCCCCCTGTCTAGGGGAGTGGAAAGAACACACGCCCTCCCCAGGCTCCGCGGCCCTCAGTGCTGACCTTACCCGTGATGACGATTCCTCCGGCCCTGCCTGCTCTTACCCAGACCAGGGCCAGCCTCTGAACCATTCCAGCCCCGGTTTCCCCACTGTGCAGACTGAGCAAAGAGTAGCCATGATTATTGAGGGGCCCTGGGCTGCTGCCCCCCGGGGCTCACAAGCAGAGCCAACTCCCACCCGACAGAGCATCAACTGAGCCTCACACCGGGGAAAAAGGGCACCAGGACCAAACGACGCTGGCTTCTCTGCCAAACACCTGAAGGTCACCTTAGAATTCTCAGAAAATTCTTTGCAAGAAGGGTAGGAGCTCAAAGGAAGGACAAAGCCCTGGGGACAATGTCTGTGGCCCCCAGGCTCCACACTGCCCTCACTCTAGGATGGAGGTTCAGACTCAGAACAATCCCCTCAACACATGTGAGAATGCACATTCTCAGGCCTCAGAAACTTGGGGGGGCCCCTCTGATGCTGCTCAAGTCGAAGAACCACTGACTTGAGCAAAACCTTGATTTTTCAGATGGTGAAATGGAGGCTCAACAAGCAGGAATTCAACCGAGGAAACCCTAGGGCTTCCAAGCCCAGCCCAGGCGTCACCGCCTCGAGGAAGCCTCCCTGGGTTAACGCCTAGGCTGCTGACCCGCAAGACCAGAAGTGGCTGATCACCTGCCTTCATGTCTTCTCGCTGAGCTGGAGCCCGGCCCACACCGGTGCTCAGTGACCATCTGTGGGATGAAATAACAAAGGTGGGCTCCCAGGCACTTGGCACTGGCCACTGCTCTGCTGGGCCGTCACTGGTTCCCGAGAGGTCCCGGACCCCAGCGCTCAGCTGAGGTCATGTGATGTGGGGCGACTTCTGCAAGATCACACAGTTCTGAGTTCCAAAGGTGACCTGAGGGTGGTAAACTCGGTCAGCTGGACCTCCCGACCCCAAGTCTCTTGGTCATCAGAGTTGGCATTTTTGGAGCCACTGGCCTCTCCCACTGCTCTGGTCGGGAGGTGCTGCAGCGGGGAGCACACTAACACCCCACTAGCTCACAGCCCCTGCCGGGTCCCCCACAGGGCAAGGCCACCTGCAGGAACACTTGCTCCGGGGCTGGGGAGACCAGAAGCCAGCCTAGGGATGCAGCCCCCCAGCTCTGCAGCCCATGAAGGGAACAGCAAGCCCAGCAGGAGGCCAGGGGGCCGAGTTCTATGCTGGGTCCCAGTCTACAGCTCCCTGGGGAGCCTCAGCACGCTCTGCCTCCAACGACAGGTGAAGGGCAGACGCTTAGGGTGGAGTCACCTGCCCAGAGGGTGGGGTCCCAGTCCATCCATCTTGGGCAGCCACTGGGACTCATTACACCTGACCCTGGTCAGCTCAGGACACATCACACTGCTCCTCCCTCAAGGTCCCCGACTCTTGTGTGGCACCAACACCCTGCCCATGCACAGCCCAGGAGGCCATGGGAGGGAGCAGCCAGGTGAGGACCCTCCCTTCAGCTTGGGGCAGTGAGCCCTCTAACAGCAGCTGGGCCAAGGGCCCCACAACTGGAGTCCCCAGCTGGACAAGATCTCATACTGGTCACTTTCAAATGACATCAACAGATGTGTACACGACTTGTACATAAATGCACAGAAAACACCTGGCCACCCGTGGCCACACTAATTACAGAGTTCACTGTAAGGGGGTGGAGGAGGGGAGGAGACTTCCACTTTCTGTTCTACACATTTGTCAACTGTTTCAGTAACTTTTCTAAATGGCACATCTATTTTGTCATCTTTAAAATAAGTTTTGTCTTTTAGTGCAAAGAAGCTGAGTTATGAAATCAGCACTTTTCATAAAAGTATGCTATGGAGACTGAAGCCCCAGGGCTTGGGCCTATGGACAAAAGCATGGCCACCAGTGAGCAGGTCACCTGCGAGGGTGGGCTTCGAGGCAGAGGCCCAAAACCCCCTCAGGGAATGGGCAGAGCCCACAAAGGCTGTGCAGGGCCACCCCTGCCTCTCCCCGACTCTGGGACCCTGCCTCAGGCTGGGCCTCCCTGACCGGTCTCTCCCCGCTCCTCTGTATGCTAAGCCACTGAGGAAGTCCCGGGGAACTCCTAGAGCCCCTTCCTTACCCACTCAGTCACTCGCAGAGCCCACCACCCCTCCCCACAATGAGCACCTTGGGGAGGGTCTCCAGGCTCAGTGTCAAACGGGAGAAGGCACATTCCCCCAGTGGGTCCTCTTGGGCAGGAATTTAGAGCACCCTTGGATTCGAATCCCAGCTCTGCAATGAGCCAGCTCCTTGTTCCTAGACAAGTCTAACCAGCCTTGATTTCCCCAGCTGTCAAATGGGGATGATGGCAGGACTCCCCCGGCTGTACCGCTACTTGGCATCTCTGTCCACCGCCCCACCAAGCCCTGTGGTTTCTTTTGCACACCCCCTCCTTTTTTTGTATATATATATTTTTTATTGAAGTATAGTCAGTTTACAATGTTGTGTCAATCTTCTGCTCTTGACATAGTGTCTTCCTCTCCCGTCCCAGCAAGAGCAGAAACTGAGGCTTCTGGTCACACACCTGTGTGTCCATCGCCCCCAGCTGGTCCCGTTCTCCGGGAAGGGCCACTCAGAGCACAGCATCCAGGAAACCTGGGCTCCCACCTTGGGAGGGAACACACAGCAGGAGCAATCGCAATCAGAAATGCACTAGCTAGGACTCCGAGTGCTGCATAGTGCCATCAACACAAACGCTAGAGCTGAATCATCTCACTAATCCTCACAAAGACTCCATGAGAGAAACCCTTATTCTATGCACGCTGCAGGTGAGGCCAAGGCACAGAGAGGCCAAGTAACTGCCCCAGGTCACACAGCGGATAATCAGAGCAAGGGGATGCAATGAGAGCTTTGGAGCCTCCACTGACAAGTCTTATGTTGAACTTTGAGGTGGATGACGATAATGAAGGCATGGAGATGTTGGAAGAAGACAAAGAAGAAAGTGCAAGACTGGGGAGATCACAGCAGGGTCAGGCAGTCAGGGAGGCCCGAGTCTGAGCCTGGCTTGGCCACTTGTTCTGGCTTTATCAGGATCCTCAACCCCTTGGAGTCTTAATTTCCTCATCTGTAAAATGGGCACGTGGAGCGCTACTTCCAAGATTTGCTGGGAGGGTTGAATGAGCCCACCTGGGAAAGCACCTCCTGCCCGAGGAGCTGACTTACAGACGTGCCTGCTCAGCGCCCCACACGGGCCATTGCAGACACAGACCCCCAGGGGCCCCAGGGGGCTGACCCCACATGGGTGCTCTGAAGCAAGTTCGGCACCAGCGCCGCAACATTAGCACCCCTGGGGGCCTGTCGGCAGTCGCAGCACACCTTGCCCTGAGTCAGAACTCACCGTTCTCTGGAGTTTTAGATCCTCTCCTTTATAAAGCTTCGCTGCTCTGTGTGGCCTGACCAGCAGCGCCATCACCTGGTCAATCGCTAAAATGCAGGGCCTCAAGTTCCAGCCACCCCCAGAGGGGACTTGCCTACACTTTCTCTGAACGTGCTTGTCCTCTGAGCTTCCAGGTGAGGAGAGCAGCTTCTAGGCACCTAGGTCAGTATCTCTCAGGTGCAGTTGCACAAGAGAGTCACCTGGGGAGTTTAAACAAACCACTTCACCCGGCTCCCACTCCAACAATTCTGATCTAACTGGCTGGGGGCACAGCCCAGGCACCGGAGGTTTTTCCAGG